CTGAGTTGACTTGGAGGGTTAGCATGACTGAGCTGCAGGAGTCTGAAGTTAAAGTCACAAAACAAATCCAATGTGGAAGAGGTGCCCAGACAGAAGTTTGAGGAGGAAATGTATGTAAATAGGGATGTGAATTTTAGCAAATTCTATTGACCAGTAACTGACTGTGGTTAGTCAGTAATTATTCATTAAATGACAACCCTAAAATCATGGAAACAACCTTTAAAAAGCTCAATCACAATGCTGAGTCTTATATAAACAAGGCTTCATGTTGTTGTTTGAAAACAGTCTACTGTAACCGAAATGACAGTAACATAGTCTACTTGCGATACTACATGTATCACATATTAGCCCAAGCTAACAAACATGAGTTCATTTGCAAAATGATATCTCCATTTTAATGCATTTTCATAAATCATGCTTTTTTTATTGCGCATTCCAAGTAATATCAAACAAACTGCAGTTGGGGTGTTTTGATCAAGTAAAAATAACTCAACAAAATGCAGGTAACTCACAGAATTAATCTTCATTGAAAATTAGTTTTTATTTTATTTTATTTTGAACTCCAAGAACTCCAATGGTCATTTCTTGTTTCAAAGTTAACAATGTTTCTGTGCAATATTTAACATTCTTGCACATAAAACAAGTCGGTAAAGTGCTGAAAAGTGCAACAAAAACAGCTCAATAATGGGCAATATTAAACATCTATAAGATCATACTTCAGAAAATCTAAAGCTGAATCTCAAATGGCTCACTGCTACCTCTATAGTGCACTGAGTTATGAAATTTTGGCTTTTACACTTTATGTCCAGTATGAATTGTGCACACATGGCTGAATGCACAGTGGTTCTTTGTTAGACACGCTGTGCACTGTTTAGATGCAGTAGCCTTCAATTTTTGACCTATGTAGTGCACTTTGTTGGAAGAAGGAAGCCATTTGAGATTCTGCCTAAAACAGTTCATGGCAGTGTTGTGTCACCTGACCCAAATACTGCGCACTGATTGGCTGAACGGATTTACTGGGTTCTGCTCAAGAACAACGCTGGTGTTTGACCATAATACATGAAGTAGCAATGCCTTAACGGCTTTTGTGACAAAACGTATTTAGAGTTCAGAATGTGCTGTGTGTTAAGAATGACTCAAGACAGACAGCTTGTTCTTTGTAAAGCATGGCGTTTATCGTTTTTTGCAAACAAACTCTTCATATATAGCCTCACCGGGGCTAGCCTGAAGTTTATCCCTGCTAGAAAAAACAGCAAAGACTAGCACAACAGGTCACCAGCAAAACCAGCACACGTCGTGTTTTGGATGCTGTTGTGCTGATAAGCAGCATGGCCGTGCCGACTGACCAGATAATCCAGCAGCAGACTAGCATAAAGCAACACAGACCAACACAGACCAGCAAGGAACTCATGCTGATGTGCTGCTTTTTTTCCCCAGCAGAGATATACACAGTTTAAACAACAACCAACATGAAGTTGGGAGCTCTTTATGCTTTTTTGTCATGGGACCAGGATAACTACACAGGATAACTGTGTTAGCTAACAAACACATGTAGGCTATAGCTTAAGGCTACACTCAACAGAAGCAACAGGATGTCTAAAAAAAATCAGCTGTAGTCAACCTTAGCACTGTGTCCTGAAAATACAGTTGTGACAGTGCTGTAAACTACATTTAGGATGGCTTAATCTCTGCTAGACCCCTTTATCAGTTGCTCTGGCACTACTGGTTGAAATTAAGTGGAGTTGAGGAGTCGACTCTTTTGGGAGGCTGTCTCTTGGTTTGCCAACACTCAGTCTGCTACTATGTAACCTTGCAAGCTAAAGCTAGTGTTCTTTAGTCCAAATCTTGGAGGGCCATAGCACTGTTACTGTTTACTTAGTTGCAGCAGATCTGATTCAACCTGTGAAATGGTTGGTCTTTAGTCTTAAAGGGTTTTTATGGATTTATGAACCAAAAACATAATCATTACATAGTCGTAATCCATTTTTCTAATCAATTTCCAGCCTCTCTTTAAACCTTTAGAAATGTGCTCTTTTTGCTATCGCACCTTTAAGACTAATGTATGTACATAACCTCTGTTCTGACTGGCTGTCCTGTATTGTGCCTCATTCAAAAAGCAGTCTAGGCCGAAACACTCCATAATTTTACATGAACGGGCGGAGCTAAACTGCTATAAGTCGAACAGGTGGATATATATAAATATGTATTTTTTTGTTGTTTTGTTACATCCCTACAACTATGAAAAAAAATCTGGATGCTTTCCCAGTCAGTTTCCATGAATGAAACTGAAAACAGTGACCTCATGGCCTCATGTTTTGAAACATTATCATTGTTTGCATACTACATTATACTCTTTTATTAAAAGAAAATCACAGCTCCAGCAGCACACACTGCTGTAGACTTGCCTAGATACTTGCTTGATTTTTTTTGTTTGTTTGTATGTTTTTATTTTTTCGCTTGTCTTTCAGATACACATGACCAAATCAGAGTTTTTTTTTACCTACAGAGAACAACTGATTTTCTTAATATAATGCATTTTCCAATTTCCTCAGAAAACCTTACCATTTGAGCTATAATACAGGCCAACTGTGATCTGTAGTCTCTTATGACTCGACTGTATCTCTGAAATGTCAACAATGCTATGTAAAACTGCTAGTCAAAGAAAAAATTATGTAGACATGTTTTCTAGTGCTTAGTCACTAAAATTCAAGACAACCAACATCATATAATAAAATAATGGAGCACATAACTTAGATTAGTCTATATTAAATGGGCAAAATGAAAAACGTAACCATTGATACATCTGTTGTAAACACGCCTATGTGCAGCCTACAGTGACCCCACAATAAACCAGAGAACACAATTTTCCAGTTTAACAAATAGGAAAACCCCCATCTGATGATGATCTTGGAAGGAGGAAAACTTTTTTTTTTGAAAAAGTACAGATGCTTTCAGGCAGGCGCTTTGAAACTTTTCTTTCTTTTCTTTCCCTACCAGTTGATGAAAGTGCAGACGGAAACCAGATAGCTGACCTTACTGCTGGTGTTAAAGTGAGAGAACAAAGATGGTCAAAAACACAACAAGGATACAAAATGGTGAATTCTGTGAAACCTAACGATCCTGATGGATACAGTGTTGCACTACAGTATATTACACAACATGACAAACACCATATGAAATGCTAGTTTTAGGCCAGTATGCCTTTTTAAGTAATTAGTAACGCTCGTAACCTTTAAAGCAATCAATAAAACTTTCTGACAGATACTTATATGTCTTGCTTACAGCTCTTAAATTGGGTATTGTTGCAGGAAAGTGCAGCACAATTCAGCATTTTCATTATATCTGCATTTATAGAGACATTAAGTTCATAGACAGCCATTCATTTACTGCACAAAGAGGGAGAACCAGTGTGTAAACATGAAGAATCATGTCCTAGGCTACTGGAAGGTATGGTACAGGACAGTTGTAGGTAAAAAAATGGACTCTAGGTCTGTAATATGTACTGTATATCTACAGTAAGGGCAGGCAAAAGACTAAAACTGTTCTGTACAGTAATTCTCTTCTAATCTGAGTGCAGACATACAATGAATCGTGTTCCATACGTTCTCCAGGGCCTTGCCTTCTCCACAGATGATGTTGAGGCATTAAGCTTCAGCCCAGTCAGGGTAAGAACAATTAGGGCCAAACCACGGAGGGCTAATGGATCTTTAGTGGGGCCATGTTTCTTAATAACGGATGTCTTGTCGTGGCCTCATGGGCTGCGCTGAGCATTGCAGTAATACGTCTGTTTATTGCATGCCCAAGAGTGACACAGGGGTAATTTAGAGAAGACGTTTAGACTGATCGTGAGGAAAGGCTATTCGCTGTTGGTGGTGCTCTACTGAGCTTGAAGTTGTACTTGGCATGTTTTTAAGCATACTTTTCTCAGACGGGTCCCATGTGAACTGACTGTTATTGAATTGCCACTGGCACTAAATCCTCAACAACTGCGCTTGAACATTCATATCTTACATATATTTGGGCCCTCTGGAATAGTGATAATGAGAGAAAAAGACCATCAAATTAAGTGATAATGACACAGGGGATATAAAGACTTGCTCTCAACATTCCTGGGAGATCTTTTTTTTCCTATGTCTAGACGAAAATAGAGATGATTATTTAAACAAACAATTTTTAAACAATATTCCCACATTGTTCTGCTTTGGAAATGTACTTTAAACTGATCATGTCACTATGGAAAGCTGTTTTAGCTTATAATTTAGATATTCTTCGTATATAAAAATTAATCTGAACAAGCAAAAACAGGATTAATACTAATAAGAATTACATTTTTGCATTTAGCATTACATTTTTCATTAGTAAGAATTCATGGCTTTTTCCCAGTTTATTCTGATGAAAGGAACAATGTTTACTTATTGCATTTTATCCTATGGTGATTACATTTTCATGGGTAAAAATGACACATGTTGAAATTCTAACTGATACATGTTTGAATTGGTTTCTTACAAGTAAAAAATTGTTACATGTGCAAAATTCAGTTCTTACATGTGAGAATTTCTCAAAGAAGAAATTTTTGTCACAAAGCAGCTTTACAGAAATCCAAGTCTAATCTGCAAGTGAGCAAGACAAAACTGCCTGACAACAAGGCTGAGGAACCCATTCTCCATCAGACAGCAAACAATAACACAAAAAAAAAAATTAATCATTAGACAAAAACTTTCAGATTAACCACGAAAAAAAGAATGACTAAAATTACAAGAACCATCGAATAATTTACAAAGACGTAGAAAGCAAATTAAGTTGTGTGAACTGGCAAACAAATCAATTTGAATATGTAATAAATTTTGAGATTCAAGATTTTGACATTATGAGAGTAAAAATTTAATTACTTACGGCAAGGCTTTTTAGCTTATAGCATGCTGACTTAGCATATGTTAAAAAATCCCTTCCATTAAAATGAACTGGGAAAAGCCATGAAGGCTTACAAGTGAGAAGTGAAATCTTAGATGCCATTTTGGATTTCTAACATGTTAGCTGTTTTTATTTACTAATAATAATACTTTGTATCAATTAATACTTTATCTATTCAAATTAACTTCTGATATTAAAAAATTGTGGACTTAAAGCTAAAACCGCTCTCCATATGGATCTCCCAAAAGCCCGCTTCATTCGCTTTCAGGTCAGAGGACTTTTATTTTGAAAAAGGTTCCTACAGGAAGCACGTTCTCGTTCTCGGGTGGTTGTTTTGCCTGTGAGGGCTGCGGTGGGTGATTAAATGCAGTAAACAGGTCAGTGACAGCCGGACACTGTTAGACAGTTACAAAGTTCAAGAAAACAAGAGTCAATAAAGCCTAGGCTGCATGTTTACAAATGTCAAAAGTTCAAAAACGGCCCCTCACCTGGCTGTGTGAGCTGAATGTTATTCAAAACCGAAACTATAAGTCTGTTTACACCAAGTACGATTCGGACGAAGAAACGGATGCGATTTTTAACGTAGTGGGCCCTTCACACCTGGTCCGTAGACGACGAAAGAGGACTACAACTAAGCGACACACACACTCAGAGTTCACCCCACTCTGAGGCTGTGCTTCTGCTTACAGCCCCTCTTATTTAATGTGCTCGGTGGGCGTGAACAGCCTCGAATGCACCTGGATAATAAAGTGATTAAAATGTTTCTGAGAACTAAAACAGGCTGTATGCAGTCACTGTAACATACTCACCGCCATTTCCCAGCCTCTTCGTTCTGGTCTGTCACATATTTTCTTTAGCCTCCGCGTTTTTATAGTCAGTTATAGAGCTCCGCTACAAGCGAGATGAGTTCAGCCGCCGTCCTGGCGCACGTTCGTTAGGGCTGTAACCATGACAACGGGACTCTGATTGGTCAGCCTGATTCGGTTGGGCTGTAACCATGACAGCGGAATGATCGGTTAGCCTAATTTTGAACGCATCAGTACGAGTTAGAAATTCTAGCAGGCGCAAAAACTTCCGCAGCGCCGCATTCGGTCAGTTTTGGAGTCAAATAAACTGCTGAGCTCTTCTACAAGCAAGATGAGTTCTGCCAGCATCCTGGCGCACGTTCGTTAGGGCTGTAACCATGACAATGGAACTCTGATTGGTCAGTCTGATTCGGTTGGGTTGGGTTGGGTAACCATGACAACGGAATGATCGGTTAGCCCAGAGCAACGGAAAGTTTACAGTAGTCATCAAATCATTACAATGATCTAGGCCTTGGAATTACTGAAACAACCATTAATTAAAGATGTATTTGTGTTAATTATATTTATTTATGTTGAAAATTAATCTGATCTTGAAACATTCTTTCTCTTCCCCTCCCTCTAAGTATATAAATAAACATTAGGATATGACCTATCTTAACTACCATACAAGTTTAAGAACATAATATCTATAATACTGAAAAGTCAAAGCAATGAAACAACGAAAACACACTCTGACACCATGTTCACATTAACCTAACATGTCAACAAGGCAGGTAGCGACAGCTGTTTAATCCTCAAATAGTGCGAATTTGACATAAAATATATCAGATTGTTGTAACTATATATACATGTTGGTTTTCTATATAAATATTGTAAATCAGTGCATTTATTGATTTTAAAGTACCAAAAGACGCAGTTCTGTCGCTGAGTGTTTATGGGTTTAAATTGCCTGCAAAGAACTTCCTGGAACTATCTGAAGTCTACGTGAATCACGTGACCATCAAGCATTTTGAACTTCCGTTACTATTGAGAGGCTCCACGATCCGCCATTGCTGTAAAAAATGATCCATTGGAGTGAACGGAGTTGACGCAACTCTCTCTCTATACAGCTCTGAGTTAGCCTAATTTTTAAAGCATCAGTACGACTTAGAAATTCTAGCAGGTGCAAAAACGTCCGCAGCGCCGCATTCAGTCAGTTTTGGAGTCAGTGTGAAAGACCACGTTAACAAACATGACGTGCGTTTATTTCGTCCGTAAAGATCGGATTTAGTGTGAAGAAGCCTTAACTCTCCATGGCCACTTTATCAGTAAGCGAGCTATGGGGTCATCTGTGGATGCACAGTTTGTGTTCTAGCCCGGTGGTCTTCAGCCCTCCCCCTGGAGATCTACTTTCCTGCAGAGTTTCGTTCCAAACTGCATCTGTCCTCCTCTTTTAAAGCATCTGATCTAGCCAGTCACTAACTTCATTATGTGAAGCAATCGTGGCAGATTATGGTTGGAACAAGACTGCAGGAAGGAGGATCTCCAGGAGCAGGATTAGTGACCACTTCTATAGCCCTTCATTAGTGGTCAGCTAGTGTTTCTGCCTAGCCTTGTAAAAATTCAGCACACTATCAGTGACTGACTTATTTATTTATTTAGTTCAACAGTCTATGTTCACAATGTTAAGTGACCCTGATTAGTCCCACAACGGGGAAGTTTCACCTCTGCATTTTGACCCATCCATGCAGTGAAACACCACATACACTAGGGGCAGTGAGCCCAGGGAGCAGGTGGGGGTTAGATGTCTTGCTCAAGGGCACTTCAGTCACGTACTGTCAGCTCAGGGGATCAAACCGACGACCTTCCGGTCACAGGACTGGTTCCCTGACCTCCTGCCCGTGACTGTTCCCTGGCTAAGTTAGACACGTCAGTTCAGCTACAGAACCTAATCTTCCCAGTCACTCAGAAACTGACCAATGATGAATGGGGCAGAGGGGGCTGATCGACTGTGCAACAACACTCGGACTATAGCTTGTAGTTGTACTTATGTATAGAGGACCTGAGCTCAAAAAGTGGTCAGTGAGTGAAAACACAAGCTAGCTGTTAATAGTGTGGATGGAGAAGGTATTTTAAAGAGGAATTACAGCAATTTTTAAAACTTCTGCATAATTAAATCTTGACAATGTAAACAAAGTCATTCAGAGTGGACTGATGTGAAATTGTTCGCTGTAGAGAGACTTACTGACTTTTTTTTTCTTTTTTTTTTTTTAAAGTGGTGGTGATAGGAACCAGGGGTCATGATGTTTACAACGCGATTATAGTCATTTTAATTACTATTTAAAATGACCGGTGTAATCAATCAACGAAATATTTTTTTCGTTGGGTGCTATTTTGCCTTACAATGCCCTGCATGTACCTCTCTGCCATGAATCAAATTTAAACATATTTTAGGCAAAATCTCATCTCACAACTATCACAAAACAGTGTCTCAGATAGACAGTGTATTTGCAATCATTTCATGTAATAACTTTCTGTAAGGGAGCTTTTGGAGGCATTAAAAACTTCAGACGTCTGGTTCCTATCACCACCACTGTGAACAATTCTGACTCAGCAAGTTTCTTGGAGAATGGAGCATTTCACATCAAACCACTCTGAATTACTGTTACTGTTAATTACAGAATTACCGCAGGAATTCCCCTATAAGCAGTTTCCCAGCATTACTACACCCACTTAGAGATTTCTGCGATTCAGTTGCGCAACACTTCCCACAGATGTAGCCTCCATCATCTTTTCGATTGTTTTCCCTCCAAAAAGTGACATATCTAGCTGTGCAGCAGTCTAACTAATCAATAATCAATAAGTAAATTCTTTTCCAAACATTCTTACTATTGGTGTTCCTGGCTTCATTGACTGGTTGCTACAGGCTCATTTTAAACTCAGAGAAAATAACACTTTTAACCTCCAAACAGAGACTCTGTAGGTCAGTATTGCTTGTATTAAGCTTTATTTCTCAATCTGCACTGCACTGCACAATTTGTTGTTTCTCAACTCTCATACACCTAAGTGAACTCACGAAAAGGCTTAACGGTGAGCTAACCAGCTGATTCAGGACTTTTGGAAAAGTTGCAGTGAAGCACTCATTGAGAGGCATTGGGGAAAACAAACACACTAAATGTGCAACTTTAAACAGGATGTCAGTCCTGTATTGCTCAATTTATTTGGCTCTTTGAACTATTGACACAGCATTACTATTAAATTCAGAGACTTGGAAAGTTACCCGACAGCATACATTAGTAGGGCTGTTGTGATTAATCAATTAGACTGATCATTAGATAAAAAAAGAAGATAAACTGACTAAAAATCACCTTTGCAATGAATTGGTAGTGATTAGATGGTCATTTGCCTGATGATAATTCATATTTAAGACTGACATGAAAATTTTAATGCCATTTTTGCCAGATAATGTTTTTATATCTTACTTTTTAAAGGCTTTTTTCTTTGAATGGTTGGCTTTTTTTTAAACCTCAATTAATCTTCAAAATAGTATATTGGTACATCAATTGATTATGAATGTATTTAAAATTGTTACATCACTTGATTGGATTGGCAGCCCTATACCGTACAAAATCTGTTCTTTTTTGTCATTTACATCCCAGGCCTATGGGTTGCAGTGATGACAGTGGTGAACTTGTCGTTCTCTGCCTGTGGCTTTATGGGTATCTACCAGCTTGGTGCAGTGGGAGCGTTCCTCAGACACGGCGACAGGCTGCTGGCTTCTATGAGAGCATGTGCAGGGGCTTCAGCTGGAGCTTTGGTTGCCACTGTAGTCATCACAGCCCCTGACAAGCTGGAGGTAAAGTATGACAGAGGACATGGATTTAGGAGTGGGCAATACGATGATATTATTAATATGATAAATTATGGCACAATAAGCTTTGCTGAGTATGGGTATCGTCAAAGCACTGAACAACTGCATTAACCATTCAAAAAGACCGATTATAGAGAGCCCATAAACAACATGAACAAGTCTCTAGTAACTGCATAAACTACATACAACCTCTTTTACCTGATTTTTCCTATAATTTTCTTATTTTCATTATTTTATTATTTATTTGTTTGTTTGTTTATTATTATTCAGATTCTTATTCTTAATTTTAAAGTTATGTTTTAATCTTATTCTCCTTTTATTTTGATTTTATATGATTTTATTAACTTTTACATTTTAGCTGTTTTAATTATTGTTTTATATTTTCTACAGTATTTTTATGTATTTTTATTATTAATGTTTCATTTTTTATACTTACCTGATTCGAGTCATTTCTTTTATTAAATTTATTTATTATTTGATATGTCCTTACACATTATCAATCTCTTGTCCTGTATCAACTCGGCAACATTGTAAATGAGGGTCACCCTCAATGTTCTCCGAAGTTAAACAAAGATTGATAGATTGATTGATTGATTTCTGAAAAAGTTGAGATGCTGTGCCAAATGTAAATTAAAAACAGAATGCAATGATGTGCAAATCATTTAAACCATTATATTTAATTAAAAATAGTACAAAGACAACATACCAAATGTTGAAACTGAGTTAATTAACTTAAAATTTTATTGTTTTTTGAAAAATTCATGCTCATTTTAAATTTGATGCCAGCAACATCTTTCAAGTAATTCATGTTTACCACTATGTTAGATCAACACTCTACGCATTTTGGAACTGAGGAGGCCAATTACTGTTGTTTTGAAAGTGAAATGTTTTCCCATTCCTGCTTGATATAGGATTTCAGCTGCAGTTCGAGGTCTCTGTCGTAATTTTTATTTTATAAAGTTTTTAATTGGTGACAAGTCTAGACCGCAGGCAGGCCACTTTAGCACCTGGACTCTTTTACTACAGAGCCATGCTGTTTTAATACGTACAGAATATGATTTGACATTATCTTGCTGAAATAAGCAAAGCCTTCCCTGAAAAAGACGGCATCTGGATGGCAACATATGTTGCTCCAAAACCTGTATATATATCGTTCAGCTTTAATTAGCATTAATGCACCCCCATACCATCACGCATGCTGGATTTTGAACTGTGTGCTAATAATAGGCCAATGGTCCCTCTCCTCTTTAGCCTGGAGGACATGGCATCCATGATTTCCAAAAAGAATTTCAAATTTTGAAAGTTCTGATGGTTTTTCAACAATATAGAGGAGATGTTTAGCTATAGATGCCTTTGCGAAACCATGAAGTATTTTATACTCATAATTTCACAACTTAATTAATATTAATGTTTAAATTATTTAGCAAGCTGTTAAAAATTAAATTTGTCCTCAACTTTTCTAGTAGGAGTAGGAGAAATAATCGATTCTTAGATGTATCACAATTCTTTTTTGTAATATTCTGAATTGATTCATAAAACATTGTAATTAGATTTATATATAGGCTCTGTGTTTCCCTACTGTAAAATAAACTCAGGCACAGCCAGAGACTTTATAATGTAGGATACTTTTAGTGCAGCCAAGCTTGGAGGAGAAAAGAAAATTCAGGATCCCACAAATGCATATATTTGTAGTTACAGATTGGTCACAAATTTTGTGCATATGGGGTGGTTGAAATATAATTGACAATCCCAGTTTTTCACCAAGAAAATATTGTGCTATTTTTTTTTAGATTTCATCCAGGCCACTAAGAATTTCTGCTAAGAAATGAACACTGTGACACAAAAAAGAAAAAGATCAAATAAAATTTTGTTAGACAGTGAAACAAGAATAGTGAATTTTACGCTACATTCAAGTTTAACCAAGCTAACACTACTTGTTAATGACAAATACAGGAGAAAATCATAAAGTAGATGCTACTGAATTATGAGGTGCCAAGAGATTCCCACTCCTAATACCTACTTTAAACTATGTATATTCTAAGTCTGAATAATGTTTACAGACATAATACAGTGCTGTTACTCATAGAGATACTGCTGTACCACAACTTCCTCTAAAACATTTTAACTCTTCCTTTCTGTCATCCGTCCTTCTGCAGCATTGTAAAGAATTCACCTACAGGTTTGCAGCAACGTCAGAAGACAGAGGTTTGGTCCACTGACCCCAGGATATGACTTCATGATGGAGCTCAGGTAAAGTCAGGGATCTTTTTGGTAGAATGTAAAGAACCATGATAAGTTTACTCAATCCAACACAAAGCCCTCTCAGCAACATCACAACAGAGTACATTTTTAAAGCGCTCGGGGCTGCAGTCATGGGGCAGCATTGGAGTTTCAGGTTAAAGACGTCTTGCCCGTAGCAGCAGTGTATGAGTGAAATGGTGTTAGAATACAGACTTATGCAAATGTTTGGGTCCAAATGACATCTTTTGTTGATTTTCTAAGTGAAACTAAGTGAACACGTCCTCTACAGAGAACACATCTCTGCACATTTTAATGCACAATTACTGTTTGCTGAATTTAACATATTAGGAAAACAGAAAATGTGGCCTGTGTAAACATATGGCACATTTTATATTTTATAATAGCAAATTATAGAAAAGAAATAAAACCAAAAACAAATTAGGCAAGTAAATAGAAAATGGGCACACATATTTGCAGAAAAATGCCATATTTAAGTGTGTTCCATATAGAGGATGGGTTAACTTATTTTCACTTACAGTAAATTGACCAAGGGTGTTTTAGTAGTAAATAGCTTTTAAGCCCTTGTTTCATGAGTGCTCCTTTCGCGGAGGCTGCGGCACAGCTTTATCAGTTTAAAACGCATGACCACAGGTGGCAAAAACTTATCTAACTTGCACTAAAGAATGTTCTAAAGCCAGATATCATATCAGGGCTGATTCAGGACATGAACTAACGTTATATGAAAATCCATTAAAAGAAGACTGATCGCGAGACAGATATTTTTGTGCATACTAAAGCAGTGGGTGGCATGTTTTCAGATATTTAAATAATTCAACTTGACAATCGCAATAGATGTAAACTATTGGTGATAGAGGGTGCTATCGTTAATTAGCTCATGGGTAGTATACCTACATATTATGTCGACTACACCTCTCTCACCACCATCAGCCTTCACTTTAACTGTTCATCAACTCAATATGCGCCATAGTGCAGCAAGCCAAGCCAGGCTGTCTAAACACCTTTGTGTTTCTGGGTCCTTGAAGTTTAATGGCAAAATGGGCGGTCAGCCTCCGTTTATTGTGCAACCATTATTATGCATGTTTTCCCCCTGCTGGCAGAGCCTGGCTCGTAAAACAGATGAATATGCCTGTAAATTAACTTAATCGGCCCAATGAAACTCGCATTCGCACTTCTGCGGCTATCCGTTTTTTCCCTTACCCAGCTTTTTGGCTCGACGGATTTTCCAGAACCATGGGGCGGATAAATGCTGAGCAGGTGTGAGACTCTGTCGAAGAACAGGAGCGAGAAACAGGACGATATTTTAGTGTGAATGTCTTTGGGTGTAGGATTGACGCTATGCGGTTACGAGATAATTGTGTGTGTGTTTGTGAGCAAGAGAGAGAGAGAGAAAGAGAGAGAAAGAGATAGATGGAGAACAAGGCTGTGTTGACCTTGAGGTAACTTGATGCACACCCTCCAGAACGCATTCATTTCATCTCCACATGAAATATGAATCACCATTGCTGTTTCGGGGGCACCACAAGTGTATCTCCTGCTGCAGCCGTATTAGGCCTGTCAGAGGAAGCAGAGATGTTGAAGAAAAAGCTGTCCCTGGCCCTGTGAGAATGAGCCTTGAATGGTTCGAAGATAGTGCCATTCCGATGCTCAAATGTGTCATGGCTGCCTCAGTAATGGGAGATACAGATACAAGCACAGATAGCAGCGGTATGATATTAAACGCCTTGCCGTTTGTTGAGGAGCGAAAAAAGTCATATCTGGGCTCCGCATACACCTCACTTTGGCCTTGTGCTGGCTGTTATTGATAAAATTCAATATCATGATATTTTCCAAATGTATCACAGTATCAGATGGTACTTAAATTTGCAGGTATTTAAATTTCCTGAGTGCTGCTACTCTATGCCTTACACCTGTAGCTTGTTTTGAATAGACCGTTTTGTTTTGTTTACTTAATTGTGCCAAAGGGAGTATTAACCATATTAACCAAGTATAAACCAGACACAAACCACATTTCCATAAAGTGAAATTTACTTTATTTAGTTTTTATGCATTCAGAACCGCAATTAGAAAAATCTGAAGCACTCAGCAAATGACATGCAGTACTGTGCAAAAGACCAACCTTTAATTTATTTTTTTTATTTCCAGTCAAAATGGCCATTAAGTGCAAATCACTCATTTTTCAGGAGATATTTCTGAGTAGATCAGATATAAGATTACATAAGTAAGGGGTCAATGGACAATAAGTGAAATAAAACAGGAGTTTCCAAAGTTTGAGTGATAATAGGACTCCTATCAACCGTGTCACCATCAGTTAAACAGCACTTAAAGCGTTCATCTTTGAGAGATATTGACTCTTGCTTCAGAAAAAAAAACAACAAATGTTTCTGTCCATCCTTCCACTGTGAGAAGACGACTCATCACTATGGATCTAAAAGGATGTGTAACTGACAAGAAGCCATTACTGAGAAAAAATATATATTTTTAAAAAAGGAAAAAATTGCAAATCAATCAAAGAAGCTGCTGCTATTCTCAGAACGAAAGTCCAACTCTCCAGAGTCCAGACCTCAACTTCATTGAATATGTTTGGATTGCTTGGATTGTGAGAAGCAGAAAATGCAACCAACATCTAAGACTGAACTTTGGAGATGTGGAAAAATATATCCCTTCAGACTTCTTTGAAAACCTGAAAGCAAATCTCCTGAAAAGAATGGAAGCTGTAATAAAGGCAAAGAGTGGACACAATAAATACTGAAAAAATTCATATTATATTTAGTTGTTGAGGCTTCTTTGTAATTTTCTGTTAAATACAGTCTTATGCTAAAGTTTGGGCACCCCTGGTCAAATTACATTTTGTTGATTTTCTAAGGAAAAAATTGTTAACACATCCTCTACAGAAAACACACTTCTGCATTCTACATTTTAATGCACAATTATTATTTATTTGCTGAATTTAACGCATTTGGAAAAAATGCTTGTGTGAAAGTTATGGCACATTTTGTGTCTTATGTGTGTTTATTTTTACTCTACAAAACATATAACTCTACTTTTGCATCTGGTTATGTTTTCTGCTTTATTTTTCCTGACACTAAAATAATGGATAACTTGTACTTGAAGGACATTTTGCCTGGAAATGATTTATATAAAGGGTAGTCTCTGACTTTCACTCACGTATTTATCTATCAATATTGCTAAAACTACAAATCAGTATTGTTGTATGGCACCAATACTAATATATTGGGATAGACAGTGTATCCCCAGCTCAACAGTGGCCTCAGATCCTCTCAAAGTGCTGCTGTCGAGGGATAGACAACGGCATGCGTCTAGGTAAAAAATTTCTAGAAATGAATTTCAGGCTGAACGTGCCTCACGTGTCGTTACCTAAGTGGCTCGGCCAAACAGATTGTGTAATTATGAGACGGTGTTTGGGAAAATTTCTTGTCTGCCGAGGTTGTTAATTATGCAGAGATGACAAACGAGCATCTGTCTTGCTGTTGGACTCCAGAGACGGCATAGAAGACATTCTCCCACAGAATGCCCACCTGTTAGCCAACGAGCGCCTCCACATTTCCATAACCAACTCCAGGACGGGGAAGAACAGCATGGTGTCCAACTTCACCTCAAGAGACGACCTCATTAAGGTATTCACACCTCTGCCTAATGCTTAGGAGAGTGATTATTACACAATAATACACAGAGTGCTAAAAGATTAGTAATACTACAGGAATTTCTACAGCTTTCCTGTAATCCTTATTCCTATATCCAGCATTCTTATCTCCTACTTTACTGCTACTCTGGTAAATACAGTATAGTACAACACTAGTAGTGTTGTAGATTACTATAAGACCCTGTTGAAGAATGTTATACAGAGGTGAATATACATATGGGATATTGAAACTGTTGTGCTAAGGTTGAAGGCTGAGTAGATCAGCATATCAGTGGCAACATCTTAGCACAACCTTAGATGTGTAACTGCGATTGTGCTTGTTCCATTATTGATATTTACTATTTAGTCATTTATGACAATGATGACACAAAAATCGATTAACATGAAAGACGTGACATCACAAGCTCAATCCCTGGCAATGTCACAGCTATATGTGGCCGGGAGTGCAAGAGAGCACAATTGGCCTTACTCTCTCTGAGTCAGTAATTCTTACATAACAGAATTGGCGGTCCAAATGTGTTGAGCTGTCCAGTGATGTTGCAGTAGTGACTGTTCAAAAAATTTGGTGGCACTTTATGTGACTCAGAGGAAGCATGTGCTAGCCTTTACCGCCCCATTGTTGGTAGTATTTTGTGACTGGGGGAGTCCTAGAAAGGGGATGCAACTGCACATGACTAAATTGGAGAGAAATTTGGGAAAAATGCAAAATAAATAAATGAAGTAATTCCATCACATGGCTTATATGCTAGCTGCCATTGCTGAATGCTGGGCACTCAGAGACTCTCATCCCTCTTTCCACATTGCGAGGTCAACACATTTAAATTTAAATATGTGATCAGATATTTAATTACATATTGGTGTTATTTGTGTAATTACATTTGCATTGAGTATATATTCTTCATTGCATATTTGAGTCTGTATTTCTGTAAAGATAATAAATTCTCAATAAGGAAGTTTTTTTTCAGTTAGAAACAGCTTAAGCTAAAATCAAGCCTATTCAATAGGAGAGGACATAAGGAGGCTTCTCTTTTGGACAAGCTTCGCTTTAGCTTAAGCTATTTTTTCTATCTGAAAAATGCTGAAGTATGCCCTTGTTCTTTCTTCCTTTCTTTCTGTCTCTCTCTCTTTCTCTCTCTGCTTTGTTCTCTCTCACTTCATACTTCCCACCCTCCAAAAAAGAGAAAGAAAAGCTCTTTGATTTCCTCATGTGATATATGCCTCATGTTTATGTTGTTCTTGAAGGTCCTTTTGGCCAGCAGCTTCGTGCCCATTTATGCTGGAATGAAGCCAGTGGAATTCCAAGGGCAGGTAATGGGCTCTAGTGTACTTGAGTCTTTCAACTCTAAATACTGGCTGGGTGCATGATTCATAGCGAATGGCCATGGAACAGCCTTTTGCAGGCTATTTTTCAGATGTATGGGCAGTGGATGTGGGCCCTGCACTTTAGGAGTTCAACTCGTTCCTTCGTCTGACAGAGTAAGGTTGTTAAAACAACTCAAAACAGATTTTCTAGTGTAACTGATGTTGATCGACATTTAAGCACTGAGTCAGGATACAGTAAATGTATATTTCTGTTGATTTAAACTGTTTGCAATACATAGTTTTATGTATGGGATCCAGTGTTAAAGTTGGGGTGGGAAATACTTTAAACTACAGTTTAAAGGCTGCGAAAACCACCTTTTTGATGGTGTATCTTGAGGATGGGAAGAACTATAACTCCTTTAAAGTGGGGTGGGATTTTTTCTTTTTTTTCATTAGCTGGCAAATGCAGAAGTAAGGCATATAGCTAATGTTACTGCCAAATATCTTATTACACCATATAACTGCAGTAACTATCTTTAAATCATTGTTAGAATAGAGAGAATAGGTTACTGAAACAAGAGAAATGACTTGACAGATGAGGCAGAAAACAAGCCAAAAGCTGAAGTCAGTGAGGTTACCGGGTTATAGATAGCTTACCTCAGTTTGGCTTCTTCTCTCTGGCTGAAAAGGTAAAAAACTTGTTTCTGGTGTCTATTTTGTGTTGAATAAAGACAGAATTACTGTTTTCTGTATGATTTTATTCAACGGCTGAGGTAAGAGTTACACTAGTGCTAGCTTGGTTGTGTTTTCTAGCCTATAGATCAGTGGCTGGGCTAGCAGTCAGAATTGGTTGACACCGCAGGGATTCACAGTGGTTGTGTGATGTATTTGCATGATGCGTGCTGGGTATTGTAGTGAGGGATTGCTGATGAATGAACATCTGAAAGCAATATATAATCATAAATTATGTCAAACTGATGCAAAACATGAAAAATAACCTATTAGACTCTAGTTTTAGTCTGGAATTTCCCTTTAATTCCTCCTACATTTACATATTTAGCAGATGCTTGTATCTATATTGATTTACAGTGGTAAGTGAATACATCATAAGTCGTGAACAAGAACTCTTATTGATATAACCATGATGTTTCACTTTCACAACTTTTACAATTGTTTTATCAAACTTCTATCTTCACTTTTTACTAATAGAGATGGATAGACGGTGGTTTTACAGACAGTCTTCCTATCCTTCCTGTGGGACGTACCATCACTGTGTCCCCATTCAGCGGCTCACAGGATGTCTGCCCACGTCACGCTGGCCACAGGAAGCTGCATCTCAGAGTGGCTAACATGAACATTATAGTGAGTCTGGCCATCTTAGTGTAACCTTTAGAATAGTTATTACTTAATGTAAACAGTTTCCATCTAATGATTTATCACAACCCGAGAAAAAAAATGAAGCTCATTTATTAAAACATCGGTTTGGTTCAGTTTGGTTCAGTTGAGGTGACTGTTAGCTCAGTAACCACACAAGCTGCAAGCCCCTCACTTCAACAAGACCACTATTTAATTTGTCTATTGAACAGCAATCATAATTAACATAGGAAAAAGCATGTTCTACTATTGAATAGTCTGATTCTCCATTTCGATATCTAGATATATAGAAGTTTGTCAGATCTCTAAGAATGCGCTGCCCATCAAAAGCACAGGGATACTTTGCCCTGTAACTTTTCAGATAATATTCAGATTATACTGCATAGTTACAGTTATAGTGTATATGTATTAAAACTTTAGATATATTGCAGCACTAAGCTTCATGTTTATCAAGTGTCTTCCCTGTTATGAAGAGCAAGTTTTTCCTGAGTAAGTTTTCTTTTTTAAACTATTGTTAAAAGCACATACTGAAAATCCTTTGGCCCAAAGATGGTTTAAACAGCTGAAGGGTTTGAGGGATGAGCGCTGACTTCACAACAAGGAGATAAAATGTGGGGGCTTTGGCTTTATTCCCAAGGTAGCACTGCCACAAACAGTTCAACAAATATATTGTGGGGTCCAAAAGTCTGAGACTATACCAAAATTCTGGGATTTTTTTTTCTTTTAAACCTGGAAATAAACAACAAAGCTTTTTAAAAAAAATATTAAAGGAAAGTTATATAGTTAAAATAATACATTAAAATATTTAAGATTCTGCACTAATTCTAGACCACTATTTAAATGTAAGCAATTTAGTGGCATTGACTAGGTTAAGCTCTTTGTACAGAAAGGTCAGACTTTTGGACCCCACTGTAGTTTTTCTCTGAATAAATCTGCTTAGTTTTTAATGTGGTCACTTATTGTAAACTGATAAAGAAAACATCCTCATTTGTATTAAAACCATTTAGAAAAGTGATCCCAAACTTTTGACAGGCTGTATATGCTTGAGGAAAAGGCTTGCGTATTGAAGTCACTGATCTTTTGCTGTTGCTTTGATTCTCTTCTCTCAGTTTTCTAGGGATAACATCAAACGACTGAACCAAGCCCTGTTTCCTCCATCCCTGCCCAGAATGCAAGCCATACATCAGGAAGGTTACGAGGACGCTCTGCGCTTTCTGAGGACTGAGGGCTGGATGCAGTAATAAGCGTTAGAGCCTTATTTTAGTGTTTTTAATTTGCCATAAATGTCAAGTATGAGGTTACTGTAGTAACTGTTTGGCAGACCTGAAGTGTTTTCAACTTTGAAAAAAGCATTTTAAGGGCAGTTTTACAAAATGTTTTACTGGAACCAGGGGCACAGCTATAAGGGGGGCTTGGGGGGGCCTTAGGGAGAAAGCCAATGAAAATATAAAATGAAAGGTGGTTATGAGCTCTTATAATGCAGCATGAACCCTCGTGCCTTTATCCATGTTAAATGAGTAGACATTGCCAAAGCTCTTCTGAGATCATCACTGTTGTCGGTGGCTGCTGTCACCGTGGCCAAGTTTACATGGCTACATGCCACCATCGGCCACTGTTTTACAATCAATTATGAAATAAGGCACGAAACAAGGCTGTTTTTCAATGTCAAAATGTAAACACAGCATTGCCCTGCTTGACTGTTTCTCCAGATTGTGGAAAATTAGCTGAGCTGTGTTCGTTCCTGTAGGTCAGAGGTTCCCAATCACCAGGCTGTGGGCCAGTATTAGGCCGCAGCAATGAGCAGTAAGCAGGGGGTATTTAGTAGCCTGAAGATTTTATCCTTACTATTAATGTAAATAATATTATTATATCAAAATATCTTTATATAAGCCTTAATTCTTGCCATTAAAATGTTTTTAAATTAATTTTATGTCATTTTTTAATATCACATGCATGCACATAGTTTGCTGTTGGCAGCTTTCAGCTAATGACTAAGTGAAAAAGTCAAAAAAGAGGAAACTGACAACATTAACAAAGGACTATTTGCAGCTGCAAACAAAAAGACATCGAAGACAAGAACAAAAACAATACCAAAATAATACATTCATTTGCAAATAATAAAACCATAAAACCATATGGTATGCAAGGAGAAACTAGACAATAAGGCTATAAAGCTGTCCAATTTCTTTACAATTTGGAGACAAAATATTCCTCAACTACAGTAAAACATAGGCTAATCATGTGTATTTCTACATCCAACCCCAGTTCCCTACAAATACATATGGTCTGCAATGTTAACAAGGTTGGGAACCCCTGCTGTATGCTACTTACCTAGCTAGCAAGCTAGTTGACCGTAATAAAGATATACAATAGAACTGGAAGTTTAATATTGTGTAGAAATTACAAGAACATTCCAGTCTTCAATCTTTTTGGCCTAGACATCAATGCCTGCTGTTATAAAAAGTAGGTCTGCGGTTACCAATATCTTCTGCATTACGCTGTAAGTTGTTATAGTGACTAGGCAGTTAAATGTGAGGTAAGCTGTTGTGCATTTAAAACTGTAAATGAATGAATAAATGACTCTGTATGGTTACAGAAGACACGGTGAAACAGGCTAGTTGGTAGTTGTCATCCTCCTTACAGCAGTGTCTCTGGGACATAATGCCCGTAACCAGATCCCCCTTAAATTGACATTCTGAAATTCTGGCTATGCCACTGATTGTAACGTGTTTTATTTTAAATTGACTGTAATTAAGTGTTGACTTGAACCTGTAATATATAATTTCTTCTTAAATGAAACTGCTGATTTGTTTGTATATTTTGTGCCAAACATAGTTTCCTAAATAAAGCAATGTTCTGTGTCTGGAAACTGACTAAGGCTGAAATTACTTGACTTCAAAGTAGCTGCTACTGTGGTTTTTAACCATGCAATGTATATTTGTTCATTTTTCTAGCTAACAGTTCAGTACTGTGCAAATTCAGAGATCACCCTTTCATTTACTTTCAACTTCCAGTCAGAATTGCCTTTAATTTGTTCTTTTTTTAGTGTCAGGAAAAAAAGCCAAAAGCATGCATTAACCAAAAAGCAGTCTCAATTATAAAATAAAATATAATTTCTTCACTATTTAGAGTGCACCCGCTTTGCCTTTATTACAGCTTCCATTCTTTTCAATCGAGACTCGCTTTCAGGTTTTCATAGAAATCTGCAGGGATATTTGTTCACACCTCAAAAGATGACTGTTAGAAGTTGGTTTGTAGCTTTTGCTTCTCATAATTCAAGTAATGCCAAACACATTCAACAATGCTGATGTCTGGACTCAGGGATGGCCAGTCCATTGTTCTGAGAACGCCAGCAGCTTCTTTGTTTGATTTGTAAATGTTCTTTTTTGTCTATTTTCTTTTCTCAGTAACAGCTGTGTTGAGTTGTCTTCTCACAGTGGAAGGATGGACAGAAACACCTGTGGATTTTTTCAGATCTGAAGTAAGAGTGGAGCTTGATTTTCTCCTCTCTCTCAAAGATGAACGCTTTAAGTGCTGTTTATCTGATAGTGACAATTTCAGTGGTCTACCAGGTCTTGCACAATTGAGAAGTCCCATTTTCTCTTTCACTTTCATGATGTTTTCATCTCTTGTTTTACAAATTCCTGTTTATTCGCTATATTTCTTTGACTTTATTTTATTATATATCTATTCTCATAAAGAACCTCTTGAAAGAAGGAATAACTTGTCTTATTTTGACTTAATGAATAAATAAATAAATGATAAGTCTGAGGCTATATCAGCCTCCAGCGCAAAAGTAAAGAAGGAAATTTCAGACACCAAACATGGCTAACTGATTGCATTTGGGCTAAGGGGAAAACTTAATTAGATTTTTTGCTGAATGATAACTTATATTTTCTTGCATGAATATGAAGGGCAGCAGAATTCATTGGACTATAGTTTAGGGAGGATGCTCTCTAGGCCTCTTTCATCACAGAACGTTGTTTATCCAAACACTTGCAGCAGGAGGCCAGGTGCCAGTCTTTTATAAGGCAACACATCATATCAGCCTAGTGTGTCTGCTGGTCCTACAGGATGAGTGTGGAGAACAAGCGTTTGAAGCGCAACCGAGAGAAAATATATTTGAACTCGTCTAACCTCTCAGAGAAACCGTTTTACTCGACCTTGCCGTGATACAAACGTTTCTAGCCAGTTGCAGCCGGAAAGAGAGCAGTGTTTCCCTGGGGAGTGCTGAAAGATTAGCAGAAGGCTGTTGTATTTGTGCTCCGACAGGGGAGGAATGAGAGCAGTGAGGAGACACGAATAAGCTTTCGACTTCGTTTCAAGTTGCCTTCTGTAGCATTCTCTGTGAAAATAAGCTGTACACTAGGCCTGCTCAATATATTGTTTGTAAATTATAATACCGGCCTTTGAAATACTGATTCCATAGCAGGCTTCTATCGGCAAATGAGTTCTCAAATTATATTATATTATAACAATTCCAATACAGTATGGAACAAGCACAATGCTCAGTAATTGTTCAAGTAAATCAATAAAACAGTACAACTATACAGGACTTTTTACAATCATGCTAGGTCATGAATGATTCCATAAAGACTTAGATTTAGCTGCGCTCCAGCTAGGTCTAAATTACAATAACAGACTGTTATTATCTAGTATCACATCTGTCAGACTCTATACATACAGTACCATCACCCAATGCCTAAAGTTACCCAGAATCATGTGTAGAGTCAAGCAAAAAGCACATTTTCTTTCAAAATAGAGCAAAAACGTTTATGCTACAGTGCTAGCATTATAAGTTTAGAGCTAGCTGATGTTAACTTGACAACCTCATTACATAAACGTCTATAATTACTCATCAGCACGTACAGAGTCAAGCTAAATGTGCGATTTCTCTTGGGAGTATAACAATAAAGGCCAAAACAACTTGTATTCTAGCTGCTAGCATATATGCTAATAGTGCTAGCATAACTTCTGTATCAGCTAATGTCCCACTGGCAAATAATGTAACTTTGTAAAGCTATAATTCTAAAAAAGTGATTGACACATCATCAAGCCCATGTATTTCCCGTGGGTTTGTACTAGCGTAGCCCCATTTTGAAAATCTCCCCTAAACACCAGGCTAAAGCAGTGGTCTGTGGCTGGTTATTATGTCAGGCAAACTGCTAGTAGGTAGTTCTTGGTCACGTTGAAGGCCGGAATGCACCAGACTCTCTGACGACAGGCAGAAGTATATTAATATATATTGCCATCGCATTATGGAAATTGGTCCACTTTGTGTAGGACTACTGTGTATCCTAACTCTTTGCACAAGTATATTAGGCCTGTTTTTGTTGCTGCTGTTGTTACCCGAGTTTTGAGTGAAGAGGTTCCTCTGACTGATTCGTCAAAGCTCATCACAAGATTTGAAGAAACACTGCAGCAACTCAGATTAGTCTCCATTAGACAAGAGCTGCATGTTATTTACTGAGCGCCATTAACTTGATGCTGATGGATGAATTTGTGCCATGGATCACTGCCATTGCATGATATAAACATTAGTCTTAAGACATACGATACGGTCAAGCTCAGCCATTAGTCAAGCCATGCGCTCTTTGGAGCAAAGACTCTGGGTCATTGTGAAGCACAAGACATATCTAGATACATTTGTCATTCCAGAGGTGGGTAGTAATTAGTTACATTTACTCTGTTATATGTAATCAAGTAAAATTCTAATAGTTTTTCTTCACCTCAGGTATATTTGCAAGGAAGGGATTTTTTTTACAAAAAGAGATGAACTGAACATACACTTCAGTTTCTCTGCTGATAGATTGTATGTACTAAGAACTTTTACTGTGGTTCTATAAGTTGCTCAGTACTGAAGTACAGTGCACTGTTTTTCCTGTTTTGTTGCATTACAACCTGAAGTTAAAATGGATTTTTATTTAGATCTTATGTAATGGACCTAACAAAATAGTCCAAATTGTTAAAATGGAATGAAAAAATACCTTATTTAAAAAAAATAATAATCCATCCATCCATCCATCATCTAAACCGCTTATCCTTCTGGGTCGCGGTGGGGTGCTGGAGCCTATCCCAGCTGTCATTGGGCGGAAGGCAGGATACACCCTGGACAGGTCGCCAGTCCATCGCAGGGCAGACAGACAGACATACACATTCACACACTCACTCACACCTAGGGGCAATTTAGCACATCCAATTGGCCTGACTGCAGGCCAAAAAAAATAATAATTAATAAAAACTGAAAAGTTGTGAATGCATCTGTGTTAGGGCTGTGTATTGGCAAGAACCTGGTGATACGATATGTATCACGATACAGGAGTTACATTTCAATGCATTGTGATATATTGCAATACTGTAAGCAAAGCCATATATTGCGATTTTTTAAATCTATTTTTTTTAAACACAGTACCATATGCATAATATCTGAGTAAAAGAAAAACTACTTTTTATGCAGTCAAAACAGTGGGATCTGGATTTGCATTCACACAGTCCCTGTAACATCCAACATCATAGCACTACTTTGTGCAGTCTGAACAAAGGAATTAACATTCGCTTATATCAATTTAAAAATATATAAATAAATAATTTGAAAGTTCATTTTTACCTCCTTGTACAACTTGGGCACAGTGATGTCAGTGATGTGTTGTCAGGAGGATATGGTGTAACAAGGCTCCGTTGTATTCACCATATTACGGAAGCCTTGTTCTGACAGATTGTGTTGCCTGGTCGAAATGTCCTACTGCATATTTATAAGTAGCTCCCTACATAAAACCATAGGTAGGACATTTTGATAGCCTAAATAACACAAACCTGAAGTCAGCTTCCTATTCAAACAACTTCAGTCTTGTATAAATCTCCTTATAAGAAAATGTTACTAGCATTAAAAGAATAAGTAGGATGTTTTGATAGCCTAAATCACCTTATTAGGGGGTAAATAGTAATAATAAACTGCACAGTACAATAGACTGGTCAATAGACTTGACGTAAGGCTGAATAACATTAAAAACCCATGTTACTATGTAATAGTAATGACATGGGTCTGCTCACTCGACAAATTGTTTGAGCACTGTTCTAAGTATTTCCAATTCAGCCATTGGTGGTAATGTTACTAGTCACCTAAGTTTGCTAATGCTAATGTTAGCGGTGTACCCTTACACTACATATTTATGTTGAAGTGGTAGATTCTAATGGCTGATTCTAATGGCTAAACATAACATAAAATGACAACACAAAACCACTTTCTGCCACAAATCTTTGCATGTAAACTATTAATTAAAAAATTATCCTGTCCTTGAGAATCGATATAGTATCACCAAACATAATATTGCAATATTCAAGTATATCAATATTTTCTTACACCCCTACTACATACTCAGCCCCTTTGCTTTGAAACCCCTAAATAAGATCTGGTCCAACCAATTAACTTCAGAAGTCACATAATTCATTGATGATTCCTGTGTGCAATCAAAGTCACATAATCTGTCACATCATGTCAGTCTAAATACATCTGCTCTGAAAGGGCCCTGAGCAGCAACACCATTAAGCAAACAACATGAAGACCAAGGAGCTCTTCAAAACAAGTCAGAGACAAAGTTGTGGAGAAGTATAGATCAGGGTTGGGTTATAAAAAATATCCCAAACTTTGAACATCCCATGGGGCATCTCTGGTCAGATGAGACTAAAATTGAACTTTTTGGCCATCATGGGAAACGTTGTGTGGTGCAAACCCAACACTTCTCATCACCCCTTCCCACAGTGAAGCATGGTGGTGGCAGCATTATGCTGTGGGGATGCTTTTCATCAGCAGGGACTGGAAAACTGGTCAGGATTGAAGGAAAGCTGAATAGCAGAAAATACAGGGTAATT